TTATTGACTGACCTTATGCCCTCAAAATCATGCTGACATGGGTTTTCATTGTTTATTGTTGTACAGGGCTACCTGTTTAAGAATGTTGTGTTTGTTTTGAATCCCCAGAACTTATTGAGAATGTGAAGTTGATACATAAACCAGTGTCTTTGCAGCCGAGAGGACTGATCAACAAGGGAAACTGGTGCTATATCAACGCTGTATCCTTTCACTCTGCTTTTTGCTGCACTTGCAACTTCTCTTTTTTTAACCCTGCAACCCTGCGTTTTCATATTGGTGATAGTCAAATGCCACAAAGGATACATTTTGTCAAGTACCTGGCAAGCCGGCATGTTTGTTAAATCCTGAGCCATTGTGTAATGTAGTTATTTGTCTTTAGATGACACTTGCTGAGGAGTGAGTTTCAGCTCTGCCAGGAAAAATCATGCCAAATCTTTTTTTATTTGATGTTTTATGGAAAGTACTGAATTGAGACTTTTTTCTCCTGATTGAAAAACTAAAATTCAAAAGACATCTCAATTTTATGAGCTACAAAAGGACAGCACGGGATTGGTCAAATCAGAACTTATTCATCCTTTGGTATCAAATTAGAAATATTATAGCAGCTTGTCATAACGTTTCCTACATGCCGTCTTCCTCCCTGACTCTGAACGCTCAGACCCTACAGGCCCTGATCGCATGCCCTCCCATGTATCACCTGATGAAGTCCATTCCTCTGCATAATGAAACGCAGAGACCATGTACCTCCACACCCATGATAGACAACTTGTAAGTAGCATTTGTGCAAGCTGATGAACAGAAGTGATAAAAATGTGTTTCATTCAAAGAAATCACCATTGTTTCTTTGTCTCCGACAGCGTAAGGCTGGTAAATGAGTTCAACAACATGCCTGTGCCATCCAAAGCCAAACTGCAAGGTGAGGTGGTGGACGTGGCGTCTAAAGACATTTGGTATCGCTTTCTGTCAGAATCACTGACGTATGATTTGTCTCCACAGCTGTTGGTGAAAAGGTCATGAAAGACATCCGGCCCGGTGTACCTTTTGAACCGACCTACATTTATAGACTCCTCACTCTCATCAAGTCAAGTCTCTCTGAGAAGGTAAGCTGTGCTGCTTCTGGATCTGATATATATTCACTGCAAAGCAATGATTTTTTTTTTTTGTAATGATAACACTCGTTGATACACTTCCTCTGGAACATACAGTGCTTGAAGCAATTATTCTTGTTTTACATTTTTCAATTCAAAACTTGACAACTCACCTGAATAAAGGCAGTTAATGCGTCGGTTCTGATTCAGGCTTATTGAATGAAATTGCTCAAATGCTCTGAATGAGACTCTTACCTTTTGATTTTTAATGAGGGTTACGCTCATCCTGTCTCACTTGTAAAACACACTGTCTGTTTACTTCAGTGAATGACTGTGGATGCACTTTTTATGTGTGTGCACAAGGTTTTTTTTTATTTGACAGTAAGCATTCTTGGTAGAATGTTTTAATTGGTGCTGATGTCCTGGTGCTTCACTCGCAGGGTCGACAAGAGGATGCGGAGGAGTATCTTGGCTTCACTCTTAATGGATTGCATGAGGAGATGCTAGCATTGAAAAAACTAATCTCGCCTCAGGAAGAGAGTAAGCATCTTTTGACCACTTCCATATCAAAACCATGTCCCAATGACTATGAATTCCATTACTTTCTGCAGAATCAACTTGCACCTAAGTTGATGGAGCATCTACTGTTGAGTTTGTGACGTTTTTGTGCTACTTGTTTGTTTTTCAATGAGATAAAAAAAAAAATAAAATGAAATATCACAGACCGGCTCGGGAACAAGATCAATGTGTTATTTACTAAAAGGTGCCTCTGCAACTGACCGGGTTTGACCTCACAAACCTAATTTTTTAACAGTGGAAAGTGTCTCAAACTATAATAAATATCCACACTACCACACAAATAAAAATTTGAGCTTTGACAAGTTCACAAGTTTCAAATGAGACTTGCATCATCTGGTCTGTGTATCAGCTGAATTACTACTGAATTTCCTGCAACTTGTAAACTGTCATTGGACTCAGGAGTTCATTTTACATCATGGCTATTTGAAGTAATTTGGTCGTTGACCTCAAGTGTTTTTTTTTTGTTTTTTTTTCTTGAACAGAAGCTCCCACGCCCAATGGGCCAGAGTCCCAGCCAGGTGTGGAGGAAGATGTTGCTGATAAGGAGGAAGAAGGTAGTGAGGACGAGTGGGAGCAAGTTGGCCCCAGAAACAAGACTTCCATCACTCGCCAAGCTGACTTTGTCCGCACACCCATCACTGATATATTTGGTGGGCACATAAGGTACGTTGACAGATTGTTGGGAAGATCTTTCAGAAATGCATTTTTAAGTGACGTGAAAATAATGAGTCCTATGTATAAGGAATTTTGATGACTGCTGAACTTGTGGACTAGATTTTTAGAAAGATACAAATATCCTTATCCTCTGGTTGACTATGGCTTCTGTTTCCAGTTAATCCACCATCCATAGGACATAATTGTATCATCTGTACAACCGGTTTCCGGTTCTGACCAAAGGTTTTTTACTTCTGTTTATGGTGGAATCACAAATCAGTCCCTGCTCACTCCAGAGTCCTTCAGAATAACAGCCACTGTGGGCCCATTGTGGTCAGAAGTCTGGACAGCAAGACGTGGGGCACACATTCACAAACAAAGGGCTTAACTTTCAGACAAATTGGAAAGTTAAGAACCTGTGCGGGTGTAGCCTGCCTAAATAATATGTTCTATGAGGTTCGGGCCTGGCACAGTCCTGGTCTACACTGGTTGCACAGTGTCTTAAAGGATTATTTTCTCAGAAATGGCTTGCAACCAGAGAGAAATGGAATATAGGAGTGTGTGTGTACGCCCACTGAGCTTGGCCATAAGCCACTGACGTTTTTAGGCACTAGTTGGAGTAATTGGTTTGTGAATCAGTGTTACAATTTGGCAGTACTTTTTCTCAATTAAAGCTCCGTAGTGGAAGCGTTCAACCATCAGGAGCAGCCAGGATATTGAATGTTTGTTTGCTTTCAAATCTTCCTGGTCAGATGTTGCAAACAGGATATCTTCGAAATAATGGATATAGGGCTGCTCATCCCAATGTTGATTGTTTCATCGTGATGAGCTACAGCTGGAATTATATTAATACATTTTGAATAAATAAAAATAGAATTCCGTAAGTGGTACTTCACAAATTAAGGATTGTGCAATTTAGCGTTTGTAACAAAAAGCTACTTATACTCAGCAATGCAAGTTATATTACTAATAGTTTTTTTTTTTTTTTCTTTGCTCTAAAACCGCATTACCTTAAGATATGTTTAATAACACAGTCAAG